TGATCAGACCTCGACAGGTTGATTTCTGTCTCTTATACACATCTAGATGTGTATAAGAGACAGGTTCCAGTGTTTTGGTTGGTCGATACAAACTTAATAGTATTATCTATATAGACACCTTATACACAAAATGAATATTTTACAGTACTATATTTATATCCTTTTATAAAGTACAATAAAATTGCTATCATTGCTGTCTACGCTCGTTTTAATTTGTTTTGGTTTCAAAGCAAACTCAACAATAAAACCCTATAAGCTCTGAATGTATGACAGAAGATTTTATGGCATACAACAATCACTCTCATCAATAATTATTCAAACTTATTTTACCTATTAATAGAATGAATAAATAAATTATATTTCCAATAATTATCACAAACTTCACAATCGATAAATCATTAAAACCCCAAATCTGCTCGAATTTGCTCAAATTGGCCTTCGCTCGAAGTGGTCCTTAGCAGAACGACGAGTGGTCTATCGATTATTTTTCACACGAGTTAAAAGTGACTAGAGTAACTTCTCGTTTAAGCAAGGATGTGTAAAGGAACAACTAAACTATCCGACTTACAACAGCATCACGTTTGTTATAGTCGGTCGGAAACGGTAAGAGAGTAAAGAGACAAAAAATATACGTTTCTTTTCTTTTTTTTATTCAAAAACAACTACAAGTACAATCGTATGTGTTTAAACAATCACACATATATACAGTTATTCGGACGAGGCGTAATCGTGGTCGTTTTGAACGACCGTTCTCATTCTCTTTAACTGCGCGTCGTCTATCGTGCCGCAGCTCCTCTTACGCCCAGCAAAACCAACGGCGATGGAGTTGGGAAGGCCGTGTCCTTTGTTCAGAAGCATCACGTTGGGAACGGAGGCGAATTTTGCTTCAGTCGTCAACCACTCGTTCATTGCCTTCAGCAGTAGAGTTTCCGCAGCAAACAGTTGTCCGTTCTCTCGAACGAAGCCGCAGTAGCAACGGACGTACGGACGCACGTCCCTTTCACTTCTGACGAACGTGACGGACAATCTCAAAGTTTTGTTGAATTGCCAAAGCACCTGCTTTTTTCGAAACGGCTCCAGCAGATCTTGCTCGTCCTTCACGGCCATCGCCATCGCGACGATCCTGTCGGCGTCCCTGTCGATGGACGGCATGTCGTCTCCTATTGTGCCGAGTCTGACGGCGTATTCCTCCAATTCCAACGAGGCATTCGATACGTCGTACATATTCAGAAGCGTGTGCGGGTCTTCGATGGTTCCTTGCCTGCCCACACACCTCACTCCGTCCACCTTGGTCCAGGCAAAGCATTCGTAGTGTCTCCCGCCTCCAGTCTCCTTAGCGGAGAACGCCACCTCAAGAGAGATTTGTTTCGCGTTACAGAATGCCACCGTCAGGATGCGACCTCGATTGGCGGCTAGCAGGTTTTCCAACAATATGTTATCTTCGGTGAAAATCTTAACCATTCTGGCTATGATTCTTCTGTTCGTCTTCTCTGCCATGGCGTCGAGGTTCGCTGATTCCGAATGTATCGTTTCGTGATGATTCACGAGTATATATAGGGATTAGTCAGCTGACATTTTCTAAGTACCCATGACGTCATCGTTACCGGCCTATCGATGCTTTCAAATAAGGGCATAGGGATGACGTCAAGGTCCCAAGTACACATGACGTCATCGTTATAGTTGGTTTATAAATAAGCGGCGGAACCTGTCCTTCCATTAAAACGCAGCAATGGCCGGGCAAGACGAATCAGCGTATCGCGGGATGTTGGTGAACGTCGATAGGTACCTCGAGGATCGAGATGTTGTGGCTCTGAAGTACTTATGCCTGGATGAGAGCACCGGTCTCAGACATGGCGAGTTGGAAAAACTTACCCGAGGCCTTGAGTTAATGAATAAACTAGAGGATAGAGCATTACTTTATTCATCGAGATTGGAAATACTTATCGAGCTTCTGGGACTGATAGGGCGTTCGGAACTTCAACGCCAGGTTTTGGACTTTCGAAGGAGCACGGAAGGACTCGGTAAAAAGATAATTTCACCCTATAGGTATGTAATTCCCTTTTTTATTTAATCGTTTATCTTTAGAGCAAAAAGATTTTTTTTTCTCGCCAATGATTGCCGAGCTAATTTAATATTGTTTTTTTCCCCCATAGGGCCATGATACTTGATTTTGCTTTTGGAATCAACGAAAAAGAGTTGAAATCGCTGAAACCGAGATTGAAATCAATCATACCCGCAAGAACTGTTGGACGACTAAAGAAAGCCATAAGATTAATGGTTGAATTGGAAAAACTGACAGTGATCAGACCTCGACAGGTTGATTTTCTGTTTGAAATTGCTGATTATTTAAAAAGGGACGATCTCGTTTTGAAATTAAATGATTATAATGCAGGAAAATACGATTAGTTCAACGCGATAGCTGTAATCATAATCCGTGTATTTTCGAATATCCTTTCAACGAAATATAGTTTTTGCTAGAAAAAATAGCAAATTAGACTATTGGTTGCTGTTCTTGTTAGCCTGATAGTGTTTGACTTATGTAACGACTGACGAAAGAGGAAGGGTTTGAAACAGGACTTTATTTAAAAAAGGGGAAATTCGAAAATTAAATACACACACACGCAAAACATCTATTACAATCTGTTTATTTTTATAAAAGCTTACTTTGGCCTACCCATGAGCTCGTGACGTGAAGTGTCTAAGAACCGATGACGTATGCTCACCGTACAACGAAGTCGAAATAAAAGTCGAGTTAAAGTGATTCCATCACACTCGTAGAGCTAACGACATGAACGAGACACTTGACCGGACGACGACAGCGACAAAGAGCACCGACGATGTATGTGTCGGGGGAGCCTCCTCCGAATCGGACCGGCTGCGAAAGAAAGAAGAGAAAATCGTTTCCCTGAAAACCGTCGTGCAGAGCATCGACGTGCTGAAGCTTTTGCTGAACGACTATGGAGGTTCGATCGATTCGTTGAAACTGGAACTCAAGAAGAAGAACCTAAGCATCGAGCACTTGCAATTTAGACTGCACAGAAACAAACTCGATTCGTCGGTCGATCTCAAAGAGCACGAAGTGTTCGTACCAGGGCACGACAAGGAGGTTCTCGACCAACTGCTGAGGGACAACGTGCGATTTCGAACCGTCCTCAACTCGAATTACAGTTCCGAGGAAGTGGCGGAAG